ATGAAAAGATGTTTAATCTCGCCATTAATCAGGGAAATGCAAATCTAAAAGAGCATGAACACCTCATGCTGTCGGAGATTGGAAGGGAGGTCATTTTCATACCTTGGTGGAAATGTAAATTTTTACAGCCTGTTTTGAAAGCAATCTGGCAATACCTATTAAAATGAAAAATACCTCTAATCTGTGATCCAGCAATCTCACTCCTGCAAATCTATCTTGTGGAAATAGAAGCTGCAGTACATAAAAATCTAAATATGTTTACGGTAGCCCTTTTTAAAGGGCAAAAACACTAAAAATAAGATAAACACCCACCCAGTAGAGAAAAGTCAAATAAATTATAGGTTATCTAATTACTGGATTATTGTGCATCCATTAAAGATAAATGGGTTAGCCTGACCGGCATGACTCAGTGGTTGAGCATTGACCTTTGAACTAGGAGGTCACAGTTTGATTCCTGGTCAGGGCACAGCCTCCGTTGCTTGCGGGGTCGATTCCCAGTGGGGGGGCGAGGGGGGGTGCTGGAGGCAGCCAGTCAATGATTCTCATCATTGATGTTTCTGTCTCTCTCTCTCCCTCTCCCTCTCTGAAATCAATAAAAATATATTTTTAAAAAGTAAATGAGTTAAATCTATGCCATTTGATTTTAAGGACTCTTCATAATGCAGAGAATTTAATAAAATGTGATTCATTTTGTGTGTGTGTACGCATAAAACACAGTCGTCTCCCTCCAAAACATTTCCCCCGTGTATAAAACATTTGTATGTATATAAACATGGAGGAAAACATACTTTGTTATTAATAATGATTAACTGGGGATAAAAGTACGTCTGAGGGAAGTTGTGGAAGTAAGCCTCCACTCACCCACTCTCTTGATAAACACACACACCACAATTTAAAAGAAAAAGGATCTACCCTAACCAGCTTGGCTCAGTGGATAGAAGGTCAGCCTGTGGACTCAAGGGTCCCAGGTTCGATTTCGATTCCGGTCAAGGGCATGTACCTGGGTGGCGGGCACATCCCCAGTAGGGGGCGTGCAGGAGGCAGCTGATCGATGTTTCTCATCGATGTTTCTAACTCTCTATCCCTCTCCCTTCCTCTCTGTAAAAAAACAATAAAATATATTAAAAAGAAAAGAAAAAGGATCTCCATGATAAAAGTGTCTGTGATATATCCCATATACATATATAGATGTAGATATGATATGAAAGGTAGTCATCAAGATGATAATGCAAAAGTATAATTTTTAAAATAAATTTTATTGATTTTTACAGAGAGGAGGGGAGAGGGATAGAGAGTTAGAAACATCAATGAGAGAGAAACATCGATCAGCTGCCTCCTACACGCCCCCATTGGGGATCGAGCCCGCAACAAGGTACATGCCCATGATCAGAATCAAACCCAGGACCCTTCTTCAGTCCTTTGGCTGACACTCTATCCACTGAGCCAAACCGGTGAGGGCCAAAAGTATAATTTTTTTAAGTAAAATGCTCAGTTGGGGTATACATTTCACACAGTTTCTGTGGGTTAGGAACCCGGGAATAGCTTACCTGGACCTTCTGCCTCTGTGTCTCCCCCAGGATCATCTTAAGGGGATGGATGAGCCTCTAAGCTCACTCCAATTGTTGGCAGGGTTTGGTTCCTCCTGGGTTATTGGCGTAAAGGCCTTGTTTGTTCACGGGCTGTTGGTCAGAGCCCTTCCTGGGTTCCAGGCCACATGGTCTTCTCCATTGAGCAACTCAAAACAGCAACTGGCTTCCTCAGCAAGCAAGCAAAAGGGCGAAACTCAGCAAGATGGACCGGACATTTGCCGTATTCCATTCATTAGGAGTAAGCAGATCAAGCCCACACTCAAGAAGAGGGGATTGTACGAGGCCAAGAATGCCAGGAAATGAGAATCATTGGTGCCACTTTAGAAGCAGCCTACCACCAGTATTCCTGGCTTTATCTCATTTTCACTTCTCTATACAGGCTAATGAGCCTCTTTTTGGAATATTAAAACTGCCCCCTCCCTCCCTGACTATCTCACGGTACATTTCTCCCTTCTTCCTGCTGTGGTCCCCTTACCTCTAGATGGCCTATTGCAGCAGACCAGTGGTCCGTGGTTCGTGAGGTCCGAAAGGTTGGCGACCGCTGGCCTGTTGGACAGGTGTTAAGACAACCCCACCCTATCGCTAGCGAATGGTTCATGGAAGACTTGAATCTTTACCATGGAAACTCTGGGAGTGCAAGTCGCTCCCCGTTCACGCTGCCATCAGAGCAGCTAACCAGAAAGTCCTGGGCTCTTTCTCAAGGTTTCTCAGACTTGAGTCAAACCCCCATCTTCTGTGACTCCCAAGCCCCGGAAGACCTTATCTCAAGCTCTCCCAACAGTCTTGGGGAAGGGAGCTTTTCCCCAAAATCCTCTCCTAATGTCCAACTCTTCCTGCCCTCTCCCACCCTATTTTGTGGTGGTGGTGGTGGTGGTGGTGGAGCTAAGTCTACAAGGGTTTTTTACCGCATTCTTCGCAGGGCTGACGTGGTTACCACCTCATTTAGGAGTGTGTACTTTGCTGTCTTGGGTCTTCAGCTGAAACTGATTCTCAAGACGTTCCTTGTTGACATCCTGTTCCATCTGCTCTTTGCCTTCTTGCTGTTCCTTTGAAGACATCTGCCCTGGGTAGTTGCCTACAGTCCCTATAACAAGAAAAGTGATTACTAATTTATTAAACCAAACAGTAAAACAAAATAGAGGAGAGATTAATGAATAAGAAAAGAAGGAAGAGAGGGGAAAGCCCTTCAGATTAGAATACATAAATACTGTCTTTATATTATTAGGTAAATACTACTGTTTAAATGGTGTTCTTGAAGTATTTGAAGTACTTGTAGAATTAAAAGTGAGGTATTTGAGTTATAATTCATAGAATAAAGCTAAACACAAAGAGAAAAATGCAGGCATAAAAAGCCAGACATGATATGCAAGCATGAATGGTCTCCATTTGGATTGATAACGAAAAACCAACAATATAATGTTTATAAGAAACCAACCTAACAGAAAATAGAAGGCAAGAATTACCCCCGAATTGGAAATACCCCTTTATCGAAGTTGAGTAAAAAGAGAAATGGCAATACTTTATATCAGACAAAAGAGAATTTAAGGTGAAAAAAGCAAATATTGCATATAATTTTATGATGACAACATAAAACCCAATGGAATTGATACCAAAAATTAAGAGTGATGCCCAGCCAGCGTGGCTCAGTGGTTGAGCGTCAACCTATGAACCTGGAGGTCACGGTTAGATTCCCGGTCAGGGCAAATGCCCGGGTTGTTGCTCGATCCCCAATAGGGGGATGTGCAGGAGGCAGCCGATCAATGACTCTCATCATTGATGTGTCTCTCTCCCTTCCTCTCTGCAATCAATAAAAATATTTTTTTTTAAAAAGAGCCATGCCCAAATTAGCACAGTCTTATGAATTGGTTTCGCAATCATCTGAATTTAGTTTTCCATGATTCTCTGTCTTTAAATACTTTTGGGGGAGGGTTTGGAAGAGCTGAGTAAAGCAGTGAAATCTCTCCCCATAATTAAGACAGGAAACAAAAACCAAGTCCAAGGAAATTAGTTCCGTTTTAGACAAGCCATGGAATTCCAGGAAACCTAGAGGTTACCTAGTGGAGCCATCGCATTTTACAGACGGAAGTCAGGGTCCCAAGAGATGCTTTAAATACTTTTGGGGGAGGGTTTGGAAGAGCTGAGTAAAGCAGTGAAATCTCTCCCCATAATTAAGACAGGAAACAAAAACCAAGTCCAAGGAAATTAGTTCCGTTTTAGACAAGTCATGGAATTCCAGGAAACCTAGAGTTACCTAGTGGAGCCATCGCATTTTACAGACGTAAGTCAGGGTCCCACGAGATGAAGTGATGCCCGCGATGCCACAATGCAGATCAGAAGCAGGACCTGACTTCAGATTTGTGGACTCAGCGTCCGCTTTTGCTCAGTTCACCGGAGCGTGTGCTCCGCGCACATGGCCCAGCAGCTCAGAGGTGCACTGTGGTGCGGACGCCTCCGGCCGGTGTCTTGGGCTGTTAGTTCCCGAGGCTGCAGATTCCTTCCAGAGACAAGGCCAGGCCCCTTTCCTTGCTCTCCAGCTCAGGGTGCCTGCCTCGCCTCCCGTTTGCAGCCTCTTGTCCAGGTTAAGCTGCTCGTAGGACCTCCGGGTGGTTTGTAGGTGTTTGTGATTTCCTGCCTGGAAACAGAGGAAAGGTTGGGGCCACGGATGGAGATTTCAGAGTCTAGGAACGTTTCCTAGAACATTCTAGCTATAGAACGTTCTGAGGGGTTTGGACATAATCCCCTCCAGCTTCTCCGCCTCAGCTGTACGTAAGAATTGGTAGGAGGTCTGGGGAAAGGCTGCCGTATTTTTAGTTTTTACTAGCTCCACGGGTTCCAGACGCACAGCTAGGAAGGCTGTGGTCAGTAGCTACTGTAGAAGGATTTGAAGCAAGGAGGTGGCATGATCAGAGTTAATTTTTCTTCATTCTGTTTGGCAAGGCTCCATTTCTAGGGGGCGTGTGTGTGTGTGAATTCGCTATTATCCCCCGTGAATTGGCTATTATCCCCCCAAAGTGCATCTTTTGAGGTTTTGTTGTTGTTGTTTTAATTACCTCACTAGGATCGGCTCCCAGGAGTAATTCTCCTGAATGGAAGGAAGTGAGTGAGTAGTTGCGGTTCCTGATTGATGTATGTCCACGATGGTTATAATCCATTTACAGTGTTACTCTCATCTATGCGTTGGGCCCCATTGGCCTTTAGAATTATTTTATAACAAACAAAAATAAATAAATTTAAAAATATTTTAAGAAAAAAATAGAAGCATTTTGTAAGGTTCAAGCAAAGAAAAACTATTGGGATTTTTGTTAGAGTAATTTTATTTTGACGTTAATAAGTTCTCAATGTTGGCATCATGTTTATAGTATTTTACATGATTTAACTGCCTATTTAATAATTTATGTTTATCTCTAATAGATTGATGAACTCCCAGAGGGAGCGGTGAAACCTCCAGCAAACAAGTATCCTATCTTCTTTTTTGGCACCCATGAAACGTAAGTCAGCAAACCGACCTGAAGTTTCAAAGCTCCAGTTTGACTCTGCTAGACTGCATTGTGCATAGAGGATCTATAACATTTCACATGTTGTGCAAATCATTATAATCAATTATATGTAAAATGGCAAACCTTAATGTGTTTTTCTTAAGGTAAAGATTTTCAGACAGTTTCCTTTTAAATGTCATCTTTGTTTCTGTTCAAATGTGTGAATCACCCAGAATTCCCCTTTGGGACGCTTCTAAGTCCCACGGTGATCCTCTCGCCACCAGTCATTGCTCTTGTAGCTCTGACATGTTTCTGTCCAGAGAAATGTTTCCCATTCATACTTCACAGACTTCCCATTCATACTTCCTGTGATACTACACTCTGTGATAAATGTAAGTTATCCCAGAGCAAAACTGTGTTCTCTACGGCGCTCTTAATCTGTGGGACCCCAGAGCACACATACCACAAATTTTTTAAGGTTTTCTAATTGTATTGGTTAGAGTACAGGCTAACCTGTTGGATAAAAGAACCTGAAAGACAGGTATTTTAAATGATACAGAAGTTTATTTCTTTTGCAACAATCCAGAGCTAGGCAGATAGAACGGGGTGGGTAGAATGCTGTGTTCTAGGGACCCAGGTTCCTCTGTCCTGCCATTCCTTGTGGTGCGTTGTCCTTGTCTGCATATTTCTTTTTCCATATATTTTTATTTGTTTTTAATATATTTTACTGATGGTTTGTTTTTTTTTTTACAGAGAGGAAGGGAGAGAGATAGAGAGTCAGAAACATCGATGAGAGAGAAACATCGATCAGCTGCCTCCTGCACACCCCCTACTTGGGATATGCCCGCAACCAAGGTACATGCCCTTGGCTGGAATCGAACCCAGGACCCTTGAGTCCGCGGGCCAAAGCTGTATCCACTGAGCCAAACCGGTTAAGACCATATATTTTTATTGATTTCAGAGAGGGCGGGAGAGAGAGATAGAAACATCAGTTATGAGAGAATCATTGATCGGCTGCCTCCTGCACGCCCCCTACTGGGGATGGAGCCCACAACCTGGGCATGTGCCCTTGACCGGAATTGAACCCGGGACCCTTCCGTCTGCAGGCTGAAGCTCTGAACCAAACCTGCTAGGGCTGCTTATTTCTTTAAAAATAAAAAAGTTTTCATTAGAAAACAAACAAATTGGCTAAACAGCACCTGTGCATCTTCCAGGTGGAGGGAAGGGGAAAGAAAGAGAACAAGTAACTTCTCGTAAGGAAATGACAGGAAAATTGCAGGTGTCACTTCCGCTTGCATCCATTCCAGTGGCAAGAAGTTGGTCGTGTGGCCACACCCAGCTGTTAGGGCAGCTGGAAAAGTAGGCTCTGGGGAGGGGGAAATCGGGAGGAGTAATCAACCCATTAATAAAAGAAAGGCGATAATGGGTACGTGGGGACCGTCGGCAGCCCTGACACACTAAGCATGTGTATGGTTAATTACGCACACATGGAGTAGAAATGGCAAATGTGGGGGGAAGCTGAAAACTATTGCGAAATCTTACACGTCTTCAAATTCAGGGTCACCCTTATGTTCACTTGGGTGTTAGTAGAGGCAGGATGAGCTGTGCCGCTGCCTGCTGCCTGCTGCCTGCCACTCTGGCTTCGTCCGCAAACGGGCCTGGCAAGGGAGCTCGCCATGAGAGGGCCCTGGAGACAAATGTCTTTCTTGTCTTCACGTGAGAAATAGTTGGGTTTCACTCAGGAAGTTAGTGTTATTTTCTTTCGTTTTGCTTTTATCTAATAGACACTGTGGCCTACGCAACTTATGTTTTCTTTCAGAGAGAGATTGCTGGGAAGGAGCACAATCCAGCCCTGGCTGGTGTGGCTCAGTGGATAGAGCATCTTTCGGCCTGCAGACTGAAAGGTCCCAGGTTCGATTCCGGTCAAGGGCACATGCCCAGGTTGTGGGCTCCATCCCCAGTAGGGGGCGTGCAGGAGGCAGCTGATCAATGATTGTCTCTCAGCATTGATGTTTCTATCTCTCTCCCTTCCTCTCTGAAATCAATACAAATATATTTTATTTTAAAAAAAAAAGAAGAAAGTAGCACAATCCAGGATTGCTGGTTTGTATACCCAGCTGTCTGTTTTTTTCTGCCTTGAAGCATGTCTATAACTCTGAAATCAATACAAATATATTTTATTTAAAAAAAAAAAAGAAGAAAGTAGCACAATCCAGAATTGCTGGTTTGTATACCCAGCTATCTGTTTTTTTCTGCCTTGAAGCATGTCTATAAAACATCTCTGATAGGTGCCTAACTCAGAGGATTTATTTATTCATTTATTTAATTTATAAACTTTTTTAAATTTTTATGTATTGATTTGGGAGAGAGAGAGAAATATCAATTTGTTGTTCAGTTATTTTATACATTCGCTGGCTGATTCTTGTATATGTCCTGACCAGGGATCAAATCCACAACCTTGTTATATCAAGACGATGCTCTAAGGATTGAGCTATTTTTAATTTGTTTACAAAAATATCCCCTAGCACCTTAGTAGATATTGATATTAAAAATACTTTACATTTGCCCTAGCCAGTTTGGCTCAGTGGATAGAGCGTCGGCCTGCAGACTCAAGGGTCCCAGGTTCAATTCCGGTCAAGGGCATGTACCTTGGTTGCGGGCACATACCCAGTAGGGAGTGTGCGGGAGGCAGCTGATGGATGTTTCTCTCTCATCGATGTTTCTAACTCTCCCTTTC